TTCTCAGGGCAGCCATCTTCCTCCCTATCCTGGCCCATTGTGTGATGTCAGCAACTGCATGTAGGCAAACTAGTCAGCCAAGAAAAATAATCACTGTTCTTGAGAGTTGCAGACCTAGAAAATGTCATGTAACTAAGCCATCAAGATGAAATGTGCATCAAATTTTACCTACCAATCTTCAAATTCCCATAGCCACTGTGAGAAGGTGACTGCCCACCACAACATAAGCTGCTTCTAAATCAGATTCCTGGCAAGACGGACTTGGAACAAGAGATGTCCGTCTCCTCTACTAGTCAGCCTTTTGAATAGTTACCACCCTTGCTTCACTGATTCTTTTTTTTTTTTTTATCGGTACCAGGGATCAAACTCACGACTGCGCGCTTGCAAGGCAGGCGCTTATGCCGCTGAGCTAAATCCCCAGCCCCACCACCCTTGCTTCAACACGTTGTCTCTCAGCTTAATTGTCCTGCTGTGTGACAAACAGCTAAATTGAGTCCAGCGACATTCCCACTTGCTATTGGCATCTTCTTAGTGTCTGTCATACATACCAGCCTACAGGAAGCTCCAGGTGCCCAGTGCCTATTCTTCTGCCCAGGGCCTGAGGCTAGTGAGACAAAAAGGGTGGCAAACCAGGCCTTAGGCTTGCAGAGTACAACTGGGACCAGTTTCCCAGGCTATATCTCCACAAGCAGAGGAAGAGAAAAGCAGAGCAAGAATGGAACTGAAGATAAGAGCTCAGGATTCCAAATTTCTCTCAAATTTACATCTAAAATACTATTTAGAAATTAATTAAGTAGAACAAGTATGTCATTTTGCTTAAAAATAAAAGGAAATAAAATTTAAAAAAAGCAGTAAAAGGGTACAAATAATACAGAATTTCAAGGAAACAAATACAATAAGATATCACTAATTAATAAGTTACATATTGTCATCTTTGAAATAGTTGTCCAAATTATAAAATTAAAGCATGTAAGGTGAACTTTCATACAATGACTTTGCAGACAGTGCCGATCAATGATCCAACAAAAGTTCAATAATATGGATTTCCATCCTACACACTCAATCATGCAGTTATATCCCTTAGAGCACCTTCCTTTCCTTTCTTTTTAATAACAATTATACTTTTTGGGTTTTTTTACTCCCACAATTCATATTATTTTTTTGGAGAGAATAAAACCTAACGTGGCTAAACAAAACAGAGTTGGTTAGAACAAAAGGATGGGCATAGTACATGATGTAAAAATAGAATATTCCCGTGATCTAAAATGGTTACCATTGTGCCTCTTGCTATTTTTTTAAAAAGTTGCCTATATCATCAGGTATAATAGAATTGATCAAAACAGTACAGAACAAGACCAATAAAACCTACACTGGAGACTTTATAGGATTTCAAAAGAAGATAATAATCAAACGATAATGGGCATCTTGAATCTTATTGCCTTCAAAGTGGTTGCCTATACCCTCAAACTTGATACTATCAGACGAAATAGAATATAGTAAAATCTGACAGGACAAGATGGGGAGAGCAATACTGGGGATCATATCAGGTTAATAGGAAAACAAAAAAGTACTATAATATATCCCGCTATTTTTTAATTTAGTTTTCCCTTAATTGAAAAAAAATATAAAAAAAATAGATTAATTTTAAAAAAGGATGGGATTGAGGTAAACGAGGACATTGTATTAGAACAACACAGGTCAGAACTGAACAATTTAAGCATCATTGTGTTTCAGCCCCAGATAATCTAACATAATGGTAGTCACCATAGTGCCTCCTTCCTTGAATTATTTGAGTATAACTTCATATACTACAGCATCAAGCATATCAAGTCAGTCTGAAGCTATTCAAGAGAACGAAGAAATTACAGGGTATTTAGAACCAGTTAACAGAAAACGAACAATGATTTCTATATTATCTCTTTGCCTACAAAAAATTTTCTTAATACTATCGCATATAGTAAAATATAGTAAGATACAACATGTTAAAACCAGTGGAAACAGGTGTACAACAGCTTGATGGGACTTCAAAGCAAGATGATATTAAATCAGCACTAGCTTTTTATGATGTGTTGTTTTCTTCAGAATAGCTACTTTTTATGATGTGTTGTTTTCTTCAGAATAGCTCACCAATACTAAAATCGAACAACCCAGGTTAAAACCATTGCAGTTAATGAGTGATAACATTATATGGATTCAAACCAATATGATTGGGAATCATGATTACCACATACTTTTATGTATTCTTATCATTTCTTATGCTAAGGAAACTAATCGGTATTTATACATGTGACTTTGATTTATTTCACTTATGAGTATGGTCTCAAGCTGCGTCCATTTATTTATAAATATCTCAATGTGATCATTCTTTATAGCTGAGTAGTACTCCATTGTATAAAAATACCACAACTTTTTTATCCATTCCTCAGTTGATGGACACTTAGGTTGTTTCCAAGATCTGGCTATTACAAATTGTGCTGCTATAAACATGGGTGTACATATATCACTGTGGTAGAATGCTTTCAGTTGTTCTGGGAATACGCCTAGAAGTGGAATAGCTGGGTCAAATGGGGCTTCCAGTCCCAGCTTTTTAAGAAATCTCCAGACTGACCTCCACAATGGTTGTACTAGTCTACACTCCCACCAACAGTGTAGGAGAGTTCCTTTTTCCCCACAGCCTCTCCAGCATTTGTTGTTGTTGGTTTTCTTGATCTTGGCCATTCTTTCAGGAGTGAGATGAAATCTCAGTGTGGTTTTAATTTGCATTTCTCTAATGACCAGTAATGGTGAACATTTTTTCATGTATTTATTTGCCGTTTGAATTTCTTCATCTGAAAATTGTTTATTCATCTCAGATGCCCATATTTGGATTGGGTCTTTGAATTTGGGGGTCTGATTTCTTTTAATTCTTTATATGTTTTAGACAGAAGTCCTTTGTCTGAGGGTAGTTCACTAAGATTTTTTTCTCAGTTTGTGGGTTTTCTTTTCACTATGCTGGAGATTTCTTTTGACGTGCAGAAACTTTTTAATAAGAGGTGATCTCAGTTATTGACTCTGGGAAGTATTTCCTGTGTGGTTTGAGTCCTGTTCATGAATTCTTTACCTACTCCTATGTCTTCAAGGTTTTTACCCAATTTGTCTTCCAATAGATTTAGTGTTTCTGTTTTAATATTAAGATCTTTGATCCATTTAGATTTTAATTTAGTACATGGTGATAGGCATGGGTCTAGTTTTAGTTTTCGGCATATGAAGAGCCAGTTTTTCCAACACCATTTATTAAAGACACTGTCGGTCTTCCAGTGAACATGTTTGGCCCCTTTATCAAAGATAAGGTGATTGAATGTGTTTGTAGTTGTGGTTGTATCTTCTAATCTATTCTACTGATCTTTGACTCTGTTTTGGTTCCAGTACCATGTTGATTTTACTACTGTTGCCTTGTAGTATAACTTCAAGTCAGGGATTGTGATACCTCCTGCCTTGCCTTTGCTGCTTAGAACTATCCTTGCTATTCTAGGTCTCTTCTCGCTCCAGATGAATTTTAGGAGTGATTTCTTGAGTTCTATGAGATATGTTGATGGTATTTTTATCGGGATTGCATTGAATCTGTATAAAAGTTTTGGGAGAATGACCATTTTTACAATATTTATTCTTCCTATCCATGAGCAAGGGATGTCTTTCCATTTTCTGAGATCATCAATTTCATTTTTCAGTGTATTATAATTTTCCCTGTATAGGTCTTTTACTTCTTTCATGAGAGTAATTCCTAAATATTTCATTTTTTTTGGTTGCTAGTGTGAAGGGTGTTGCCTCTCTTATTTCTCTCTCTGTGACTTTGTTGTTAGTGTGTAGGAATGCTATTGATTTTTGAGTATTGATTCTGTATCCAGCTACATTACTGAATTTATTTATTATATTTAGGAGTCTTTCAATGGCGTTTTGGGGATATTCTATATAGAGTATCATGTCATCGGCAAATAATGATAATTTAACTTCTTCTTTTCCTATCTTTACGCCTTTTATTTCTCTCTCTTATCTAATTGCTCTGGCCAGTATTTCCAGTACTATATTACATAGGAGTGGTGATAAGGGACATCCTTGTATTGTGCCTGATTTTAAAGTAAAGGCCTTCAATTTTTGGCCATTTAGTATGATATTGGCTGTTGGTTTGTCATAGATGGCCTTAATTATATTGAGGTAATGGCTAATGTAATAAATTGATCATGCACTAAGAATCAAAACAGAGATTAACTGTTCACCTCTGTATGCATTTAGCAAAAATGAAATAAACTTGATGGCACCATTTGTATTTTAAACAAAGAAAGTATTTTTTCAGTGGGAAAAATGATTCAGAGGAAAAAAATTAAGCAAGTTTTAAAAGCAAAAAAACAATGCATTTCTATTTAAATCAGGACATTAAAATAAGTCTGCCTGCATGTAAATTAAGAATAGAAGGATAAGTATGCAGGGCCCATAATGCATCCTGTGGTCATCACAGTGATGGTTTTAACTACACCACAGGGCTGGAGGTGTTTTTCCTCTATGACAGCGATGTATTCACCAAGCGAATGGCACAACCTTGTAAAAAAGCAGTCTCTCCATGAGCAGAACATGGTTCATTCTTACAGTTCAATTGCCCATTTTCCCACAACTCCTATCAACTTGCTCACACATTATTTTGTCATCATTTTCATGTCTCCAGAGAAAATCACTTTTTTCTATATTACACTCATGCAGTAATTCTGACTCCCGAGTATGTGTTTGTTTCTAATATTAATTAGTTCTCTGACTCTGGATATCTAGTGTCTCACAATTTAATTCTGACACTGTGGGTTTTGGGCTCAGTCCCACAAAATTGTGCTCACTTCAGACTCCAATCACAACTAGTGGTTCCCTGGGTTATCCATTCCCTCTGTCCAACTCAGCTATAAATCAGGGTCCCCTCAATACCACTATTATGAGTTTGATAACTTGCTTGAAAGACTCATAGAACTCAGAGAAACACCTTTCTATGATTACTAGTTTATTATAAAGGGTAACAAAGGATACAGATGAGCAGCCAATAAAGATGTACAATAGGGTGAGTCCAGCAGAGTCCTGGGCACAGGAGCTTCTGTCTTCATAAAGGCAGGGAGCACCATCCTCCTGCCACGTCCATGTGTCCACAGTCTGGAAGCTCTCTGAACTTTGTAGTTTAGGGATTTTTATGGCTTCATCACATCAGATGATTATTAACTCAATCTCAGCCTGTGCATGCTATGTGTCCATAGTCTTTGCAACAAGACCCCATCCCTGAAACTATTTAGGAGCCGACAAAGAATTACCTCATTCAAACAAGAAATATTCCTTACCAATAGGCAATTTGAAGAAATTTAAGAGCGCTGTGTCACATCAGGAATTGTGGTCAAGGAACTGGGGATGAGGATCTAATATATACTTCTTATTAAATCACAATATCACAGTATTATCTCAATAATACTTTCATTACAGGTTGAAGTCTACAGACCAGCTTAACTGATGAGTGGTAAGCTGCTCCCACTGGACAAATAGAAAATAATCAGATGGATAAACCACCTACAGAGCCACTTCAAGGAAGTCCACCTGTAAATGGAAATGCCTTGCATGGAATTTAGACACTAATGAGCTTTAATTCCAAAAGGGCCTAGGCACCTTGACCTTATCGTCTTGGCCTCTTACTTCCAATATCATATCTATAGCCATCTTATTGGGGTCTGTAGCACTGTCCACTAAACACAAAACCAGATATGAGTATTTTTTAATTCCATTACATGCCAACTATGGAGCCTGTGAGGCAGTTGGATAAATGTTTGCCAAAAGGAAGTAAATGTTAATATATATTATTCAAAAAGGTTTTATATCCATGGAAAACAGGAATAAAAATTTAAAAGCCAGATATTATACATAAGATAATTATAGGACTAACATCTATGCCTTACTGCCTGTTGGTTCCATACCAAGGTCTCAGGTTATGACATAACGGGTAAGTCCGCCCCCTCGGACCTCTGACAGCCTCCGGCAGTGTCGCAAAATATTCAGGATCCCATAAAACCTCTTGTCAGCCTTCAGAGTTGTGAACTCCTTTATGTCAGCTTCCACTATAAAATAACGACCTGAAAATAAAGATAGGAATGCTAACCTTTTAAGGTCGATTTTTAAGATGAGTCTTTGAGGTACTAAATTGTGAATATGAATAGCATTAATGTCTTTTTTATTTTAAAAAGAAAAAAAGTCAGAAAAGAAAAGCAAAAAGCAAAAGAGATAAACAACAACAACAAACCCAAAACAATAATATAGGTTTTCAAAACAGAATGAAAGAAATTTAACAACGGTTGTTATATTGCATAATGCTCTTTTTTTTCAAAGAAAGAAAAGGAAAATTTAAAAAAATTTTAAAAACACAAGAGGCAGAATACCGAATTTAAAAAATTAACATCATAAAATTGTTAGTTGATATATTACCCATTGTTGTCTTTAAAACAGTTGCCAAAGTCACAAAATCAAATCACAAAAAATGGCTAGACACTCAAACATTGAAAGTGCAAACCCTTCTGTTCAATGATCCAACAGAAATTCAGTAATATGGTCATCCATCTTACACACTATATATACTGATGTATCCTTTAGAGCATTTTCCTTCCCTTTCACAATATTTATTACACTTTTTTGATCCCATTATTCTGTCAGTTTTTATTATTTTTTACACCAGAGACAAAGTGATACTTCCTAATGTGTGTCTTGTTTATTTCACTAATGAGGATATTCTCAAGTTGCCTCCATTTACCTATGAAGGCCTCAAGGCCATCCTTTTTTATAGCCGAGTAGTATTCCAATGTATAGACATACCACTTTTTTTCTTCCACCCTTTGATTGATGGACATTTTGGTTGCTTCCAAGATTTAGCTATCTCAAATTGTGCTGCTTTGAACATGGGTACACATATATCACTATGACATGACCTTTTCAGTTTTTCTGGGAAAATACCTAGGAGGGGAATAGTTGGATTGAATGGAATTTCCAATCCTAGTTTTTTGAGGGATCTCCATACTGATTTCCACAGTGGTAGCACCAGTCTACACTCCCACCAACAGTGGAGAAGTGCTCCTTTTTCCCCACAGCCTCTCCAACATTTGTAATCAGTTGTTTTCTTGATGGCAGCCATTCTTTCCTGGATGAGATGAAATCTCAATGCTGTTTTAATTTGCATTTCTCAAATGGCCAGTGATGGTGAACATTTCTTCATGTATTTATTTGCCATTTGTATATCTTCATTTGAGAACTGTATGTTCATCTCCAATGCCCATTTTTGGAGAGTCTTTGAATTTGGGGGCTTGATGTTTTTCAGTTCTTTGTATGTTCTGGATATAAGTCCTTTGTCTGAGGGATTGTTGGTTAAAATTATTTTCCATTCTGTGGGTTTTCTTTTCACTTTGTTGGTGATTTCTTTTGAAGTGCAGAAACTTTTTAGTAATATGAGGGCCCAGTTGTTGATTCTTTGAAGTACTTCCCATGCGGTTTGTGTTTCATTCATGAATTCTCTGCCTACCCTAGGTCTCCAAGATTTCTACCTACCTTGTCCTCCAGCAATTTAGTGTTTCTCTTTTAAAATTTAGATCTCTGACCCATTTTGACTTTAGTTTAGTGTATGATGATAGGCATGGGTCTAGTTTCAGTCTTCAGCATGTGGAAAGCCAATTTTTCCAACATCATTTATTAAAGAGGCTATCCTTCTTCTCATGAACATGTTTAGCCCCTTTGTCAAATATCAGGTGGCTGAGTGTCTTTGTAGTAGTGTTTGTATCTTCTAATCTGTTCCATTGATCCTCAGGTCTATTTCTTTGCCAGTACCATGCTCATTTTATTACTGTGGCTTTGTAGTATAGTTTCAAGTCAGGAATTGAGATGCCTCCTGTCTTGCCTTTGTTGCCCAGAATCACTTTTTGCTATTTTATGTTTCTTCTGTTTCCAAATGAATTTTAGGAATATTTTCTCTAGATCTTTAAGGTATGTTAATGGTATTTTGATTGAGATTGCATTGGATCTGTGTAAGAGTTTTGGGAGTATGGCCATTTTCTAAATTTTGGTTCTTCCTAACCAAGAACAAGGAATATCCTTCCATTTTCTAATATCCTTTTCAATCTCCTTTTGTAGAGTAGTATAATTTTCATCATATACATCTTTTACATTCTTGGTTAGGTTAATTCCTAAGTATCTGATTTTTTTAGATGCTATTATGAAAGGCAATATTTCCCTAATTTCTCTCTCATAGTTTTTTGTTTGTGTATAGGAATGCTATTGATTTTTGAGTGTTGACTTTCTATCCAGCTATGCTGCTGAATTTATTACCTCTCTTAGTCTTTTAATGGAGTTTTTGGGGTCTTCTACGTAGAGTATTATGTCTTCTGCAAATAAAGATAATTTAACTTCTTCTTTTCCTATCTGTATTCCTTTTATTTCTCCCTCTTGTCTGATTGCTCTGGCTAATATTTCTAGAACTATATTGAAAAGGAGGGGTAATAATGGATATCCTTGTCTTGTTCTTGATTTTAGAGTGAAGACTTTCAGTTTTTGTCCATATAGTATAATGTTGGCTGTTGACCTTCATGAGATTGAGGTACATACTGTCTATTCCGAGTTTCTGTAGGGTTTTTATGATACACAGGTGTTGGACATAATCAAAAGCCTTTTCTGCATCTATTTAGATGATCACATGATTTTTATTTTTGGCTCTGTTAATGTAGTATAGTACATTTACTGATTTGCGTATGTTGAACCATTCCTGTATTCCTGGAATAAAATCTCCTTGAATCTGCATTCTGTTTGCCAGTATTTTATTGAGAATCTTTGCATCAATGTTCATTAGTGAGATTGTTCTATAGTTCTTCTTTTTGGTTGGGTCTCTCTCTGGTTTTGGTATCAGGGTAATACTTGCCTCTAAGAATGATTTAGGGAGGACTGCTTCTCTTTCAATTTCATTGAAGAGTTTGAGTATTGGCATCAAATTTTACCTAAATTTCTTACAGAATTCAGCTGTGAATCCATCAGGACCTGGCTTTTCTTTGTTGGTTTTAATCATGTTTTTGATTTCAGTAGCTGATTCTGCATTGTTCAAAATTGTATCTTCTGATTGAGCTTTGGTAGTTCATATGTTTCTAGAAATCTGTCCATTTCCTCTGTTTTCTACCCTATGTGAGTAGAGATTTTTCAAAGTAGGCTTTCATGATTTTTTGAATTTCCTTGGAATCTGTAGTAATTTCCCTCTTTTCAGTACTTATTGTATGGATTTGAAGCATTAATCACTCTTACTGTCATCATGTAATTAAAGTAAGAAATTGTATTCTTGCCAAAAAATAATGATTTTCCTACAACTGAAGTTGCATGATACTACTGTAGCATTTTAGCATTATATCCCTTATCCCTATGTACCTGTTGGTATCTCGTGAACAACACACTTTTCCAGAGGCAGGATGCACGAGAGGTTAACAGAAATGAACTCATAGCAGCTCTATCACTTAAATGGATGACTTGCATAAGTTAAGCAATATTTGCCTACACTACAAAATGGAATAAGGAAAGCTGGGTACAGTAGCCCCTACCTAGAATCCTAGCACTCAGGGGACTAAGGCAAGACAATCATGGATTCGAGGTCAGTCAATCCTGGAGACATAGTGAGTTCACTGGTAGTCAGGACTAAATAGAAATGCCCTCTCTCAAAAAGGGGTCTGGTAGGAGAGAGAAGGGTATTACGAGGACTAAACCTCTTAGCGCACTAACTGGCACCAGTATGTAGTATATAAACATGATCAACTGTGAACACTATTACTCCACTTCACAAAATATTGGATAGAGTTCTTCATCAATTATACTCCAAACAGTTGACATACGCACAAATATATAGTATCATTTTACCTTTAGTATCCTTTATTTCTTCATCAACAAATCTTTGATAGAGATTTCTGGTTACAGAATTCATAGACTTCTTTGGCTGATGAACAATCTTGTATTTGCTAACTACTGCTTTATTGATTTCTTTAATAACATCATTAATTTGACAATAGGTTAAGCGAGATTTCATGTACCTGTAAAAAAAAAAGTGTATAGTTCCTTTTTAAAAATCATTACACAAATTACTTTCTTCAAAAAATATACATAACTTTGTACATATCAAAGTATACTTTATAAAGTATCCATTATAAAAACAATTATATCAACTTCTGAGTATTCCAGACACAACTTACCATCTAAAAATTAAATACAGATGACAACATATTAATGCTCAGCTCTCCCAATATCCAAGTGCATTAATCTGTTTTCCACATTATACAGTACTAATACTACAACTTAAAATAAGGTTTTGAATTCTAATTAAAACAGACTGAACAACTGTAACTTTATTCAAACATTTTTAAAGTGTACAAAGGAAAAATATTAAGTGTTGAAAAAATATATAGCTCACACCACTGTTTTCTGGAAAAACTATTATGCATGTAGAGAGGGTTTAAAAATAAAAAAGGAAGAGAAGGAAAGGAACACAATAATAGACAAAGAAAGCCAGAAGAAAGATAACAATTGAGACACAGAACTGACGGGGCAAGGGATATAAAGCATGAAAAGCTTCTAAAGTTAAGCACGAAGGCAGAGAACCAGTGAGCAGCATGCTCTTTTTTACTGGTTGGCTCAAATTCTTTCAAAATATCTTCTCTTCAACTCTCAGTTCCACCTGTCAGCATGAACCTCATTCTTGTCTGTCCTCAGTGTCACCACAGGTCCAGTCTTACAATAAAAATAGGAGACTCTCAATTTTGAGGGGCTTGGATAAACTATGACCAAAACTCAGCTATATGCCTCAATACAAATTGTGAGTTCACAGTCTTAAACTCTGTCAAACGTTTCTATTTGAAATACCAGTTTTGAATCAAAATTCTTTTATGTAATGCAATAAAAGAATTTAAAGAATGTTCATCATTTCAAAAATATTTATTTTTATTATTTTTCTTCTCAAAATTCAATTTTGCAGATTTGCTTTTTCTGACTACAATTTCCAATTTGTAACATTCCTTCCAATTTGATAACATTCCTTTCTACAATGCTCTCAGGAATTCCCCAAGCCTTCTTGACTCTGCCCTTTATTTCTTTAATACTCATCCTCTATCACTGCCAACATTTCCTGTTTTAATTCCATCCTCAAAATTTACATAAATAAATAGCTTATCCTAATCTCACTTATGATATAACTCCTTAGTTTAAAAAATAAACATTTTATCATAGCTATTCCAATTTCCTTCAGCTCTTCGCAAAGCATTTTCTAAACTCTTTTACTTCATTGTTCCTTGTAACCCTTTGTTCTTCCCTTTCAAGTGACCAACTGGCAACAATTTTTAAAACAGTAGATAATGCTGGCAAAGATGAGATGAGAAAGGTATTCTTACATACCACTGACAGAAATAAAAATAAAAACCAGTGAGTAGAGCTCTGATGTGCAAAGAGCTGACCATCATTCCAGTCTTTACAAGAACAAACTAAAAATTACTACAATAATTTTTTCTAAAGTCATCACAGAATTGAGGTTACAGACCAAAGTACCTCCCCAAAACTGGAGAAACAAGCAAATACAAAACAAAACAATCACACCTTCCTGGTGAGAACTGGAGACAGAGAAAAAACAGGCAGTTAAGATAAAGACCTGAGTAAACTGAAAAAAACTCAGAAAATCCCAACACAAGAGAAAGAGGATTACTGAAGTCTTCCCAGGGAAGTTGGGGTGCAAGGTAAATCTGTTCTCCTGACATCAAAGGCCTAGCTAAACACTATACCCACAATGTTTCAGAGCAAGTCTGGGTAAACTGAGACATGCCTTCGGAAGTTGAAGTACAAGGGAAGTCTGTTCTGACCAGACTTCAGAGGCCTAGGTGAAAATGGCAACTGCATTATTTCACTTTCACCCAACCACCAAAATAGCTCACCAAAGTCTGCATATAAACCCCTGAACTTGGGCACCTCCTCACTGTCCTCTCTTGGAGACCCTCTCAGCCAGCGAAAGCGTTTCTGTTCTAACAAACTACACTTGGTTCACTCCCCAGTGCTGTGTCTGTGGACTTCATTCTTCATTATTCTCAGGACAAGAGCCCAGGGGGAGGAGAAAATGTGTAATATTAGGAGCTTCAGAATCCACTGGAACTAGTAACTACAGAAATAAACAGTAGCTGACAAGTTGCTGTGGCTCATTTTAGCCACATTGAAACTTGAAAACTCCTAGGGACTCACTTTACTTAGCCCTTAAAATTTCATAAATTTTCTCTCTAAGGCACCCCTCAACCTCAGGTTTTTATGGTTAAGTCCAGAGAAAAATTCTCTTGAGCTTTACAACAGGAAAGAAAATATATCACTTTGACATAGGGCAGGTAACCAGTGTGAATTACTACTACAGCAATTTTGTTTTGTAAAACTGTTTAGGCAATAATTATTTTCTAACAAAGATTATGCAACAAAAATGTAATACAAGGTAAAATTTAGAAATTAAGGAAAGTCCCAAAATTATGAGTTTAAGAACATGGGTTTTCATAAAGGTTCCCCGCTGTTGCATCTGTAAAAAGGAAAGGAAATCTCCTTCCGGAAAAGGCCTCTTGCCTTACACATTACTATATTCTTCTCAGTGTCACAGCACTTAGAAAACAGCACAGACTCAACCAAGTATGTGGTACAAGAAATAAGTGAAAACCAAACACACACTACTCTTCATTCTAATTCTCAGCTACACATCACACTCAATTTCCTTAAAAGCACAGCAAAACCAAAGTTACTTCGGAGATATAAATCTGTATCACAGAATGGTCTCTGGGAATAATGAGCAACCAACTGATCCATGTATGGCAGAAGAGCTTTTACAACTGAACAAAAAACATGATTTTAAACATTTCGAAAAGAAAAATATCCTACATTTTCACAGTACAATGTAAAACTATTTTAGACAAGATCACTATTTGAACACAGCACATTACAATATATATGATCAAGCTTTATAAATTAAACAATCATTACGTTGACTGTTACAGAGTTCAACATTAAAATGCAAATACTTACGAAGGAATTTCATTGAATTCATCAGTAGATATAAACAGCATTTCTTTGATAATTTTTTGTTCCTTGAGAGGCTTCTTTGTGGATTTAGATTCTTCAGCTTTGACTGGTTCTTCAGAGTCAAGATGTGCTCCATTAACCCTACACGCAGAGTATGTATAGGTTATTGTCAGAATGAAGCAGCATACTGGAAATTTTTCTCAACTGAAAATAATCAATATTCAACATATAACTCAGTTGTAATAATTTTTATCCAACAGTTTTTTCTATCCTTGAGCCTTCACCATGAAGACCTACCTAGTGAAAAGAACATTGAAAATTTCCCTAAATTTTAAAGAATATAGTTATATTTACTTACATACCCAAAACATGATATATATAGGTTATGTATTAGATTCTTTTCCCCCAGTGGGATAGAAATTAGTTCCTTACACATGCTAAATAAGCAGCCAAATGTTCCACAACTGAGCTACATGCCCAGACTTTATCTTTAAGAAAGGGTCCTAAATTGTACAAACTGGCTTTGAACTTCCTATGTTCTAGGGTGAGCCGGCCGAGTAGCTGGAATTACACATATGCACAACCATGCCTGGTGCTAGATATCTTCATCAAGAGTCCCACTGGCTCTTCAAAGTTCAACTATTCTTAGCTTCCAAAAAGTACCTCTTTCTGACTTCCATAGATTTGAATGTACAAATATCAGTTATCTTCCATTTGTTCTTATTTCTCTTCTTGGTTGCTGTTAATCACTGCCTATTGCACATTTTAATTGCTAGTGATAAGCATGGGTTGCCCTTGGATTCAATCTGCCCAATTTTATTTAATAAGAAGTCTAGTATGGCCTCTGTTGCACAAGTAATGCAGTCCATAAACAGGGTGTAGCTTCTAGGTCAGTGATGGCACAAACAGCCTACTGCAGCACGTGCACAATAGGTTCCTCCCCACTGTTCTAGGTTAAGTGCCAGAGAAGGAACAGATTTTTGCTGCCATAGGGCTTGAATGCCTTCAAAAAGAGATACTAGAAACAGAAAACAGTAGATCTAACACAGAATGATCCAAAAGGATCCTCAGAAACATGACAAATAAGAACCCAAGATGTCAGCAGAGAACCAAACAGAGCACAGCCAGGCCCAACGGGATGATGTGGACTGTCAACACAAAAACGTCCAGTGAGAAAGTACCATCATCCTAACATCCTAACATCCTTTTTCCATGGAGAAAGCAAATTTTTCCTGTACTTATTTATCTTGATTATGTGCTGAGGAAGTTCCCAGTTGTTTCTGCAGGCCCTGACATGTCTATCACTGGATAACAGCATTTCAGCCTACAGAAAGGTTTTGTTTTGACCTAACCCCGAGAGCTGAAGGTAGGTCATACTGAGTCCCTGTTCTTTAGCCACATTCCTGCTGGTTTGTCCACTCTGACAGATAACCTCTGATGACCTCTGCTCCCTATTATTCCCCTGTGACCTTGTCTAGTTGTCTTCTCTTCTTGCAGGAAAATTCCAAGCACCTTGAACATGCCTGGAGACAACACTACCCTGGCTCTTTTTCTTGGAAGGCTTGTGTTTGCCTTTCAACTTCTCAAGTTTAATCAATATTCTCTTCATGGAAAGGCAAGATTATCATAAAGGCCAGGAGAGTGATTACCCAAAAGGAGGGTGCACTAGAAAAAAGTTTTTAAGCTACTGTAATCTGACTACTAGATACATAAATGTTTATTATTCTTTGATTTGTACAAATATTTTAATCACTTCCCTGTATATATGGTTCATTTCAAAAGTTAACCATAAAATGTTTTTATCTATTCAAAGCACTTTTTAGAGCTAAAATCTTGGTGGCAGAGGACTGGAGAGATGGAAGTGGGAAAGTACCATGCTAGAAAGACAGAACACAGGACTTCTCAAATCATAAAGATAAAAGATAGTGAAAGAGCCTATTCAGAGCCAGGGAATTAGAACAAGGGAGAGGCAGAATGGATGGCAAAGGCTAGGGGAGTGTGACAGCATGAAGATGCCAAGTCCCTGCCCTGGTGACAGAGAAATGAGACAGACCAGCAGTCTGGATAGACACGTAACAAGACAGGCAGTGAGCTCAGCCTTTGACTTGTAAAGTTTGAAAAGAGAAATTCCCTCAGCAAATTCCCAGAAAGCCACGAATCCTTAGAAATAGATACCATGTCAAGGCTGGAACTGGACATTTAAGAGCATTGACATTGGGGTCAGGTAAGAAGGAGTGACGCAGCTTCAGGGAAGGCAAGCAGAGGCAGCAGCCTCAGGAATGTGGGCTGATGGGCAAAAAAGCACCACAGAAGTGCACGAGGCAATCTCAAACAAAAAGGAAAACAAAATCAAGCCGAAGGAAGGCTTTCTGGCTTCTTTGTGAACTGCAAGCAATCAGTTTCACAAGCATGGTGGTGATGACGGCCAAAAAGCTAGACATTAGGGCCTCTGGGAAAAAGACAGCACAAACATATACTGCCAGTAAAGAGACAGAGAGAACCAGGATGGAGGTGAAAGACAGAAGAAAAGCAGGATTATATTCCTTTGGCTATTTTTCAGAAGAAAAGTTCATCAAGCTGATTCTTACGCTAAGGCAGTGGTTCTCAAAGGTCAGGGAGATTTTGCTCATAAAAGACAGTAGGCAACTTCTGAAGACCCTCTTCATTGTCATGACAAAGAACCGACCTCAAAAGGCAATGAACAGAGGTTGAGAAACTGCTCTAAGAGAAAGAATGAGAGGAAAAGGAGCAAAGGAGCCTCTGGAGCCTGGCTCTCAGGAAAGGGGGACATTTCCCTCAGAGAGGTAGGATAAGAAAACGATGAGTCAAGAGAGAGGCTCACACTGTTTCTGGTGCAAGTCACAAAACACTCGTTAATAAAACTGCAGGTATGTGACTGAGCAAGTCTTTGAGGCGTCTGTTTTCACGGATTTACAAATACAGACAGTAAGAATAATTATGAATATACTTACGGATTCTGTGTTACTGTTACTTGAGGCAAATGGGGAGGAATGTTTTCATTCAGATGTTCCACATCTTTATAATCTTCTTCAAGCAAGTCACTGAGTTCCTAAAATGTTTTAAAAAGGCTCATGAATAAGCCTCGTTCCTTCCTGTGAGTGTCCTAAGATATCACCAAAGGCAGGGGACTATGAATAGTCCCCAGGGGTAAGAACGGGGGAATGCTGACCTCTAGAGCTCTTTTTTTGGACGGTAATATATTTTGCTCTACTGTATTTTTCAGATAGCAATCTCTGTAATCCTATTACAACTACAAAGCAAGGTTGAGGTTTAAAAGTTTAAGTCTCTTCCAAGTATTTTAACCTTAATTAAGAAACAGATGAAAGGAGAAATGTTTTTCATTTTGGCAAATTGCTTTTATTGACTTAGCACACATTCTGTGTTACCTGTGTGATAGCACCAGAGAATGTCCACATGATGACAAGCATGAGCTGTTGCCTGGAATGATTTCCACATCAATATTTGTATATCCCAGCTTAATAAAAACTTCTTGATCATAACTGTATTTTGTTTTCTTTAACTTCCACTAGAACTTAAGGCACTGAATTTGTGCAAAATTTAGTAAAAAAATATTCTGTGCCTTTGGATACTTGTCATCTGACTTTCAATATTCCCTTAAACATTTTCTAAGCTTGCACCAAATCCTGGTGTTCTTGGATAGATTAGAACTGAAATATGAGTGTTGGTTTGGAATTTATGATAGTTTTCTTTTGCACAGCTAAGTGATACTCATAGACACTAATTTCATTTTGACTAATAGAAGGATGGGCACAAGCATGCCCATTGCTATAGCTGAAAGTATTTAGTAATTTACCAAACTAAGAACATTATAAACTTAAAGATATTATAAATTACCTGCTGATTAGAATTTTATTTGTTGTCTTTCTGTTTCTTCATTAGAAAAACATTACCTTGAGTGAACTGCTGATTTGTTCTTGATATCGAATTTCCAATTCAAATTTGTTTAGAAGTTCATTTACTATAATGATCTCATCTCCTATTTTATTTAATACAGTCTTTAAGGTAGGGTCCTGGCCTGTTATAAGAAAAGATAAAGCAGGGGGAAAAAAGCATATAAACTAAAACAAAATACCCATGAAAACCCTTGAAACAGATAGCCAAGCCTTAGTGACACAGAGAGTAGAGAAAGGACCGCTGTTTTAGTCCTGGCACCTGTTTCCATAGATAATCTGAAAATTTCATTTCAAAGTCATATGGTGAGGCATTTATAAAATGTCCCTTACACTTTGGTTTCTGGCAAGTTCTTCCACTATAATAAAATACTTAGCAATACTGAATAAAAGAAATACCTTTCTACATGCTTAGATGAACTTTCCTGAGAATTAGTTACATCTCCAAGGGATCCAATATGAAGAGGGATCCACAGATGAAATACCATTAGTGAGCTGATGTTGCAGTAGTCTGCAGGGTGGAGGAAGGTTGAAGAGAAGGCTGTCAGCCTCAGCAACTGGATATATTTCACTTTAAAGGGGACAAGATCCAAGGCTTTGAGGCCTCAAAACACAGGGTATTGGAAATGGGTATCTCAAATGGGGTCAGGATCCATCTTTCTTGAAAGTATGTCTTGAAAAAGTCTAAACAGGCTGGGGAAATAAGCTTATGTTTTGGACTGGCTTTCAGGTATGCATGTAGAGGGAGAGTAAGGGTAAGGCTGAGAGTTCTCTTTGGAAATTTGGAATATATGTTTGAGATTCATATTTATATTATCTATACTACTCAAAGTTGCTAACTAGAAAAAAATAACATACAAAGTCTCAGGCTAGTGATAAGTCTGTGGTATCTGGAAAATAAATCAGGAGACATATATAAAGCAGCATGTTTTTATCTTCACAGCCCCATCTCCTAACACCTCTCTCTAGCTTCATAAATTTGATGAGAAAACCAGAGTTCTTTCCTCCCTAGAAATAGAAAAGATAATTTAAAAGAACAAAAACACAAAAGAAAAATTATCCTTACAATTAAATCTTTCCCTCTGCATTCCCAGCAACCAAACAATGAAACACATATAAATAAAACCATACTTTGGCCATTTCTGTAGATTACAGAGGCAGTAGACATTAGATGATTCAACCTAAAGTCAGAAACACCATTACCTATCTAAAGCTACTGAAAAAAATAAACGAAAGTACACAGTAAATGCTAACTACTACTCATCATAATTAGGAGTATATTATTTTATCTAATGGAGCAATGTGAATTGCCTTTTACATTCAGCTCATAACCACTAAAACAAGAATTCTGATGTCCCTACTGAGAGTAATTGCAGAGGGTTAAATAACTAGAAGGGTACAATATCTCTTCCCTATACACAGGTATCTCAAATAACTTGTTTTTGTTTTTATTTTATGAAATAAAACAAATTTTCATAATCCAATAACAAGAGAAACCCACAGTTATTTAGTCACCTAAATATTAAAGTTTTCATTACTGATTTATAATAATATAATCAGATGAGATCAGGCACATTCAGAGTGGTATAGCTATAGAAAATATAGTAATATAATCAACTGAACAAACTCTTTTTGATAGGATTCATTTACTAAGTTACAACAGTAAAAGTGCAAGCTACAAAGTTTTATTAAGTAGGCTATGGAAACAAATTGTTCTCCTCATCTACAAAATGACAGTTGTCCAGTGTAGTAATCTAATGGGCCTGCAGTTTCAGCCAGGTCTCTGTTTCAGAGGGGTCTTTCGAATCTAGTATTATAGATCTCCAAATTACAATGGCACCTTGGGGCAACAACACTTTCCTTGGTGAACAATTTGGTTCACAAACAAAAGCATTTGGCAAAATTTTGTTTTTGTTTATAAACTCTACATGGGGTGGCAAACATGACAGGGGCCATCTTTCCCACACAAACACAAGTATGGCCTTTCCAAATCTGCAGAACAAATTAAATTCTTGAACCAAGGAACCACTGCATAATGAGGTATGATCCAAAAATAAAGTGAATAGACAATTTATTATGGTAAAAGACACACTTCCATTAATCTCCCTTAAAATACTCCCCCTCACTTCAAATACACATTGTTCTTGCCAGTTTCTGAAGCAGATCAAGAAGTCCACCTTAGTGTCTTCAGTTGAGATATCACTTAACCACATACATCATTCAAAATGGAATAATAAGCAAAATGTATATTGTACCTAAAGTCAGTGAATCTGTTTTACTTACCAAGATTTCTTAAAGACAGTGTTTTTTTAATGTTGCCAATCTTTTCATTAACATGAGAGTATAACTGTTCCAGCTCCGAGGTCATTTTAATCCTGTGAATGAAAAAATATAAACCTTTTTCTAAAGGAGGAAGAGGGAGGAGGGGAGGGGAAGGGAAAAAGAAGGGAGAGGAGTCAAACCAGATAAATTTCTGTTCATTTTCAAAATCCAAAAATGGTAAACACTGAGTAAATCACATTATTTTGAAAGTACAAAATGGCAGTGTGTTGCAATCTACAAATTCATTTTCTAACCAAAGTACAGTACTTGGGTGTCTTAAGTCTTCTGCAGTTAATAAAACTCCAAATTAGGATACAAGGAATGATCCTAGATGACACATTAATGATTCAGAAAGATAAAAGTACTATTTATATATAAAACAACATCGGCGCTTCTTTTAAAAATTCAAAATATACCTGCATTTTAAAGAAACACTTTAATTTCGAAACGGGCCCGGGGAAATATTTTGAATGGGACTTCGAACTGTGCGACCCAAAGGGAGAAGAGAAGAGAGGGGAAGACAGTTCCTAGTCTCTCTGAGGGCAAGTTAGACGGAGCTGCTCCACTCTGGCCAAAGAATAAAAAGTTTAGTCCTCCCCGTCGGGTGGGCCGCAAGCCCTTACTTGTCAAGGGACGCATCCGGATGCCTTGAGGCCAGAGACCCCAATGCCAGACTCCTACCTCGCGCCAGTTGGGCAGCAAAGGGTCCACTCGCCGCTGAGCTGCCAGCTAGGAAAACTAGTCTCTGTCAGAACCCAGCGACCGCGGGACGCAGCTCTCGAAGTGAAATTCAAACTAGCCGCCCAGTACCGCGCGCGCAAGCGCACTTGCGATCTCCCAGAGCGCAGGCTCAGTGGCCGCGGGCGTTTCCGGGTTGTCTCCGACCTTAGTTAGGCGGGTCCGGGGGCGGGTCCAGGGGGCGGGTCCGGGGGCGGGTCCGGGGGCGGGTCCGGAGGATGGATTTCGCTAGAGTGGGCTCAACAGACTGCCACTCTGACTCCCAGCGGTCATGTGTTATCTCACTCACCCACCCCGACCTCTTTCCTTCTAGCACTCAAGTGCTGGAGGGATAAAATGCCAAAGTTGCAAAATCTACTCCAGGGAGAGTCACTCACGGCAACTTTGGCATATCTCAAAGGCTAGACACAAATCATTGAAATCAGGCACTCCAAAGGCAAGGCCTGCATCTTTGTTTTTAAAATACCCCAGATAATTCCAAACAGCAGGCAAATTGGTGAGGTAAAAGACAGAGCCTCGGGGCTGGGGATTTAGCTCAGCGGCATAAGCACCTGCCTTGCAAGCAGGCAGTCGTGAGTTCAATCCCTGGTACCGATAAAAAGGAAAAAGACAAAAAAAAAAAAAAAAAAAAGACAGCGCCTCTGAAGGGGCAATGCAAATTTAAAATTCTGTAAAGCAAGAGTTTAATTTTCTCTACTGAAAAGGAAAGGCATCCCAGTATGGGAGTAGTAGCTCCATAGTAAAGTTTTCAAGTTCTTCACATTTTTCACCTCCATCATCCGTAATATCCTGACAACTTTCCCAGTCCCTCTTTTTTATTAGGACATGTTTGCAGTCTATAATGTGTGGAGTTGGTACATGTGCAAACACGTCTTTTCCTTTTTTCATCCCTTAAACTTCCTTTCCCTGCCTCTTGATCCCCTTCCCATTTGAGAAAGAGCTATCTCTCTACTCACTATTATCTATATATCTTTTATTTCGCTCTTCATATTTGGATTTTTCATATAAGAGAAACCATGCAATATTTAAGTTTGTGCATCTGGTTTATTTCATTTAACATTATTGTCTCAAGGTGCATCCATTTTCCTACAAATGACTCAAGTTTATCTTTCTTTGTGGCAGAATAGTACTCCCTTGTGTGTAAGTATATTTGTCCTAGGCAGTGGAAAAGAGAAGGAGGCAAAGGTGATAGGCTCATCTATTAGCCATCACCTTTAAAGTGTTTTCCTAGCCCCAGAGCCTGCCTGTATCCACTTTTCACTGGTCACTCATAGCTGTAAAGTAGATAAGAAAAAGTCTTCAGGGCCGAGGATTTAGCTCAGTGGCATAAGTGCCTGCCTGGCAAGCATGAAGTTCTGAGTTCTATCCTCAGTACAAAAAAAAAGCCTTCAAACAAATTTTAATCTGGGTGGTTGAACTGAATTGTAAAGAGTATAGGAGGTCAATTTGTAAGAGAGAGTGAGAGCAAAGATACTGAGAAGGTGAAGAAGTTCAAAACATGGCACCCTGAAATATGCCACTTTGGCATATTGATTATTTTGAGTACTTAAAATATGGCACACACAACAAAGAGATGAGGGAGGACATTATAGTGGGGCAAACTGGCTGAGCAAATGTACTTACCAGAATACAGGGATTGAACACTTGAAGCCAATCAGAAAGTGCTATTTAATTCTAAATTTACATATGGTGCAAAATCAAACAATTTTTGATAGGACAGCCTAGAGTTAATGAAAGATTCCCCACCATTAATCTCATGGTGACTGTGAGCTTCTTTCAGTAACTCGCTCTTATTTATTCATTAGAGTATATTTCTTTTCTCACTGTTAGTAAATGTAAATTCTCACTAAATTTTCATGACTCTTGTCCAATTCTTTGTTTTGAACACCAAGAACTTGGAAAGATCCTCCAAAAGAAACCTTTGGTCTCTAAAACTGATAACAGACACATCAGCAGATAAAATTGCCATGTGAAAGATGACCTCTGCCAAGGAAAAAGTGACATAGAAGTGGGTCCATAAACAATATAGGAATCCAAACAGCTAAATTTACAAACCTGGAATTTAATTATCTGAGCTCAGCAACCACTCGCGTGGACCCATGTCAGAGTCTCACCACCAAGTGGCCACGCACTGGAAAATTACAAAGCTTTTAAACAGAGAATCGCAAAAAGACATCGTGTTGGAAACAATTTAGTTAGAATCTTACATTAATTTTTGGTTGACACCTGTATCCTGCTTCTTTTGTTGAGCAGGTTAATTTTGTCTTGTGGGTACAACTCATTCTGCTTTTCTCGTGGGACTTATACTCTGAGTAATTTTCCATTTTCCTGGTCAAATACAGGACACTATTTAAACGCAGGGCTCAAGATGTGTCTTAGTCACTTTATACTCGTCGCTGAGACAAAATACCTGAAGCCCAAAGTTGGGAATGGAAAGGTTAATTTCTTACAGTTTTTGGAGGTTTCAGTCCACACTCAGTTGGCTCCAAGACAGGCAGGCATGGCTGGGCCGCAGTTCATGTTGGCCACCCACAGCAAACTCGAACCAGCAAAGAGAAAAACACACCTTCTTCCTGCCATTACATCACATCCTGGCTCCACCCCAATGTGGGTGGAGGACTGACACCATCAATCCAAGCACTATACAATGAACCATCACAAATGAACAATGCAAACTCATGAGGCCTGGGGGACACAAACATAAACCATGACAAGATGGCATCAGCTATGCCAAGCTAAAACAACGTAAGATAGAAGGAATGAAAATAGGTAAAAGCAGACAAAGAAAACTGTAATTTTAATGTTTACTTTTCATAAAAACTGCAAATTAAAGACATAGCAACTTTTAACTTTTATTAGTTTTAAAGACAATAAGCCTGGGCTATTCCTTTTGCCTGTAATTGAAACTTGTCTTTCTTTTAACTGTAAATGGGCTTTATTCACCTGTGAATAAACCTTTTTTTTTTTTTTTTTTTTGCCTGTAAAATGAGATTTCGGTTATGGGTGACCATGCCATCACCTTTCATCTGTTTTTGTTGTTATTGTTATATTTATCTGATTATGTTTTTATTTTGCCTTACTCTTTTACCTTTCATCTGTAAATTGAACCTCATCTTTGCACAGATTTACAAATTCCACAGATTTCCACTCCAAATTCCCATAAGTACCCACCTCAAAGCCACAAAAGCCCCTCTCTCTGAATGGTATTCAGTCTAAATTTGAGTGTGTACTTTAAAATTGTGTCTAGAAAAATCTTTTTATGTCTCTTACTGACACATCCTAAAAATTCTTTTTCTGTGATTGAAGTCAATGAATCTGCAAACAGCCCGATGGGCAAGTCAAGAAGCTTTCCCCATTTCTGCTTTGAGAGCCTCCTTGGACCCTGACTGGTGACAGAAAGAAACATATTTATCACCAGAGACGAGAAGTTAAAGATAAGAGAAATACGTGTAAACAAACTGTTAAACTAGTCCTTTTCTTCCTAGTTACTGTTCCATCATTAATTGCGCTAACTCATGCCCTTCGCTTCATTACATAGTCTCACTATTACAACCCACTGTCCTATTTAGTATACAGACATTCAGTTCAGTTTCTCTGGATCTTTGTTTTCCTGTAAGGGCTCCCATCTACATGTAAACATTTTAAAATGTGCATGCATGCAAAATGTTTGAGTGAGACTCAAACAAGAATCACATATTTTCCTTAATATATGGAATTCAAAAGCAAAAGAAAACAAGAAGATAATGTGAAAGAAAAAGGGATACTACGATTAGATAAGCGGAAGGGAAAAAAAGGGAAAGGGAAAGTAATGGGGGAGTGAATATGATCATAATATGTTATACTCATGTCTGAAAAAAACTACTCACAAACCAGGCCACAAAATAAATCTCAGTAAACTTCAAACGAGTAAACTCAAACATCTTTAAAAATAAAAATGTGTATTCTCTGCTCTTGTTAATCTATTTCATGTTTGTCCCAGCTAGAGACACTAGTATAGTAGAAGAAAATGTTGCTCAGGTAGGCTACTTGTGCTTATTTTTTGAAACTTATCATAACTTGGGGAATATGATGCAATAAGAAACACAGGCTTTCTCCCAACCTCAAAAAAGTATAGGAGCTGAGAATTTAGCCCAGTGGCACAAGCACTAGACTGTCAAGCATGAGGTTGTGGATTTGATCCCCAGAACCAAAAAAAAAATACATTAGTAGAATCTGTTTGGTGAAACCACTTTGAATTGTGGAGTCTATTTAAGACTTGAGACTTCCAGAGGAGAGCTTAGATGATAAGCTGTGATTAATGTTATCAATTATAGCTTCTATGGCAGTAGCAACTACCCATTTCCAATGCGCAGGTCCATGAGAGGCAGTTGTACACACAAGAGCCAAGGTTGGAAAAAAAGGACCTTGTCCATCAAATATCTAGGATTTGGGATCTGATCACTGCTACTTTACAACAGCTTAAAACTTGAAACTACTATTTTAACAATCCTCAAAGAACTAAAGGGAGATGTGTATAAAGTTAAGAAAAATTATATATGAACACAATGAAGATACCAATAAAGTTATAAGAAACCTAAAAATATAAATTCTGGTATTTCAAGAAATTCAAGCCTTTTGGGCTTGAAGGACCTTGAAGACAGGACCACGGAAGTTACTGAGCTGAGAGATAAAAAAAGGCTTGAAACATGTAGACAGAGCCGCAGTAGTGTACACTCTCAGGCAGACCAATATGCACTGTGGGAGTCCAAGTAGGAGAATGGAGACAAAATGGGGAGCAAAGAATAGGTAAAGAAACAATGGCTGAAAACTGCTCCAAATTTGTGTGAAATGTGAATATAAACATCCAAAAAGCTCAATGAATTCTAAGTTAGATTAAGTCAAAGAGACTCACACCAAAACAGTTGAATTATTAACAGACAGTGATGACGTAGGTGACTTATCATATATAAATATTCCTCAATAAGATTATCAGCTGGTTTCCTTGCTGCAGCAGTGACAGAAGGTAAGAGGTGTTTGGGTCATCAGGACAGAGCCTTCATAAATGGATTCATTCTCACTCTTAAAAGACTAGATTAGTTACCATCACAGTGGCTTGTTATACAGATAAGCTACCCTTCATGTTTTGTCTGTTCTGCACATGCTAGCTTACCTGTCTGCTTTCTAGCATAGGATGAGGGTCTTCCTGACACCATGTTCTTAGAATTCTTACCCTCCAGAACCAGGCTCCCAAACTCTTGATTAATTGATTAATCCCAGCAAGGCAGAAGCAGGTTTATAGGCAGGGCAGTGGATAATCCCAGTGAGTCTGTACCTTTAGTTCCACTGAAGTTCAGGCTGGTTTCTGGCTGGAACCAGATTTGTCCAACAATAGTTGTGCAATAGTCCATGTGCCTCTTGCTGGCTTGAATTCAGCTCCATGACCCTTTCTCTGGCAGTCACTAGATGAAGCTGGGCAGCAGCTGTTTGGAATTGTGAACTCAGTTGACCCCTCTCCATGATGGCTACAGGACACTTGCCCTCTACAGTTGGTGGGAAAGCATCTGAACCTAGATAACTCACCAGCCACTACAATCTGCTGGGTTCACTGCATTCCACTCATGCACTTTTCCATGGAGGCTTCTGCAGTCAAGAATAATGACCACACATTTGCAAATTTGAGCCACTCCTCACATGCAACGAGTGTGGGCTCAGGGAAGCTGGCTGCTTCCTCTTTCTTCTTCACTGAAGCCTCTCTCTTTTCTCTCCCTGTGGGCTTCAATTCTTACTTCAGATCTTTCCTGTGTCCCCAGGCTCCCACTTCTTCATGTTGCTGTGTTCCAGTGTCTGTACACCAAATCTCAGAGAGGTTATTCTCAGCTGCTCACCACTCTGCCATCTGAAGTCTCAGATAATGATAATGGATGCACATTAGATCTACTCAACTGTGTGCTTAAAAATGATTAAGATAACAACTTTTATGTGATATTATCAGTTTGACCCAAACAGAGTGCTTGTTCTCTCCCAGAATTGTAGAGCCAATAAATAAATTAAGTCATTTCAACACAGTAATGAAAGAAGACTTATTCATGGCCAAAGAACAGGAAAACCAGGGGGTAGAGTTAGAAAATTAACTTCTCAAGTCTGGGAAAATGGCAGAACAGTAAGCAGCAGAGAAAATAGCCTGTCTGAGAGAAACAGTCCAGATGCTGGAATATAGCATACTGGAAAAGACAAGAAGGAAAGAAGTGGGTCCTCTCAACCTAGGAAGAAACTAAAGTGAAAATTGAAGCCCACTGAGAGAATTAAAAAAGAAAAGAAAAACTTAAACAGAAGGAAGTAGCTTCTGGCACTTTTACTGGAACCAGAAGTGCTGCTGGGATCTGGAGACGCATGGGCACAGTGGAGCTGGTGGCTAGGAGGCTAGAAGGCCTCGGTGGGGAGATGCGTGGCAGAGGAGAGCAGCAGACCAGAGATCTGCACTGGCTGGCAGTAAGTGTGTAGAACTCAGTTCTCCATGGGAGTGGGAGATTAGCTGGGTGCTATTTTGGAGTTGGGCAGGATAAGCCTGGAAACAGAACTGCAGCTGGCTTTGTTCAGTCACTCCTAGCTCAAAGCAGACTGGTGGAAATTGCTTGGACTGAGTCCTGCCTCCTGCATGGTCCAATAGCCACTACCAAGGTTTCCCTAACTCTATCCCTAACCAACCCCACCCGCCTGGTTTACACTAATTTGATGAAGACTCCCTGTGGTTAACCAGTTTAGAAGGGAAGGGCTAGCTTGCCCCATCCCTGCTTACATTCCACTAGCAACCAACAGACTGGAGAAAGCAGCAAACAGCAGAAATACCTAGCCAACACACTTTGGAGTAAGTATAACCATGGATGTGCTGGGGAATTGCACACCTGCAGTTTTTGAAGCAACAGCAACTGATATAGCTTCCATGAAGCTATAAAAGAACTTAGAACAGAAATACTATTACAGGTAAAAGAAGATATGATAAACATAATAAAAGAATTGTTAAGCACCTCTAAAGAAGACACAGATGAAAGAATATAGGAGCATAGAAAAAGGAGGGAAACCTTCAATGAAGACTATAAAAAAAATTTAGAACACATGAAACAGATTCAAAGAGAATACCAAGAAATTAAAAACTGAAAGCTGGCAAAACTGCTTGAAAGAAACTAAAGATAGACTATCAAACCTTGAAGACAGGTTTGAAGCTTGCAATCCTGAAAGGAAAGATCTCTTAAAAATAACAAAGAACCAGGAAGTAATGATACAAAGGCTAGAAGATGACAAGAGGATTTATAACTTAAGAATAAAAAATGTGAGTGAAGAAGCAGGGTAAACACAAATGAAATACAAAGAAATAATTAAAGAGAACTTTCTAAGCATAAGAAAAGGAAATGATATTCAGATATATGAGGCATACAGAACTCCTGCCAGCTATAACCAAAATAGATCTATATCCAGATGTATAATAATCAAGATCCCAGAAATTCAACGCAAGAACAGAATATTAAAAGCTGTCAGAGAAAAGAAACAGATCACCTATAAAGGAAAACCCATCAGAATCATGGCAGATTCCTCAACACAAACCATCAAATCAAGAAGAGTTTGAAGTATTCTGAGTCTTGAAAGAAAATAATTTCCAACCTAGATTGATGTATCCTGCAAAACTATCTCTCATAATTAATGGAGAAATAAGATACTTCCATGACAAAAAGGAACTGGGGGAGTTCATGACCACCAAACCAACAAAAAATACTGAAGGACATTCTAGAGAGAGAGAGAAAAGATCATGGTTTCAGGAAAGGTGGCAGAGGGGGCACTGACCAGGGCAGACAGCAGGAGCAAGGGGAAAAGTAGACAACCAACAGCAGAAAAATAACATGGCAAAAATGAGGCAGAGAAGGTTGGTTATAATCACTAAAATGGATGGCCAGGATTCACCAATAAAAAGAAACTGGCAGTGTGGGTCAGGAGATAGGGTCTATCAATGTGCTCTATATAAGAAATACAATTAACTTGATACAGAGTTTATGCCTGAAAATCAAAGATAAAGAAAACAATGCTCTGTGTGACAGGGAACCAGATAATAGTGGGGGTAGCTTGCCCATCAGCTGCAGATTGGCTAGAAAGCCATAACATTTTTATACAATGGAAAATTACTCAGCTATAAAGAAAGAAAACCTTGAGGGTTTTGTAGGGAAATGGATACAAGTTAAAATCATGCTCAGGGGTAAAAAGTTTCAGAATCACTTAGGTGAATAGCGGGCTGCCTCCCTAATCTAAAAACTAAAGGAATTAGTGGGATGCGAAATGTAAAATACACCCTGTGAAAGTGAAAGGGGAGGAATTGTCTAAAAAAGGAAAGATAGTGGCCATTGTTAATCTTTTGTCATGATTTGAAACCCATATTGTTTTCATTGCTCTGTTTAGTTTGGTTTTATTCTGTTCTAATTTATCTACTTGTATTAGATTTGATGGCATTGACAGCTATTCTAAAGATAGCAGATAATATTATGGTAATTATTGTTTATTTCCTATTAACTTGATTTGAAGCCCTGTATTGCTTTCACTGTCTTGTTTTGGCTGATTTTATTCTGTTTTGTTTGATAGTATCAAGTCTGAGGGTATAGACAACTACTTTGAAGACAATAAGATTCACTATGATACCCATTCTGGTTTGACTATTATCTTCTTTTGAAGTCCTGTAATATCTCCAGTGTTTCATTTTATTGGCTTTGTTCTGTACTGTTTTGTTTAATTTTATTATACCTGATGATATGGGCAGTTTTTTTGAAGATAGCTAAAGGATTATGGTAACCATTGTTGATCACCTTGTATTTTGTTTTTATGTCATGTACTATGTCCATCCTTTTGTTTGGACTGACTCTATTTTATTTTGTCACATTTGGTTTTATTCTCTTAAAAAAAAAAAGAATTGCCAATACATATAGACATGTGACAAAAATGTAACACGTGGATAGACACATATTTATCCACAGAATGTGATTCAGAAGTTACGCCTTGATTAAACATGTTATAAAGTAATAAGAAAGTCAAAAAATCAAGCAAGATAATTTTAAAATGTAAACAATTATTGAAATAATTTAAATGTTATGTTACATAAATACTATGAAAAATATTTTTAAAAATTCCCAAATGTTCTTTATCTTGATTTACCATTGTTAATGCTGTTTTCCTTTTTTTTTTTTAATTTTTATCGATACCAGGGATCGAACTCAGGACTGCTTGCTTGCAAGGCAGGCGCTTATGCTGCTGAGCTAAATCCCACCCTTTTCCTTTTGTTTTTATCATCCTATTAATGGGTAGGTATTGATATACTTTTTCTGAATTACTTGAGAGCAAGTTGTAGAAATTATGTTCTTTTACCTACAGATATATTAATGTGTATTTTCTAATAATAAAAATTTCTGTTACATAATCACAAAAAAAAAAGAAAATTAACTTCTCCAAATAGAGGCTGTCCTAGATATATGAGGTAATCAAAAATGCAGTGAATATTTACATTTTTAAAAATTATTTTAAAAGACACATTTCCAAGGTCAGGATAAGAATGTCCAAATGCAGAAGTATATTCTGAGTATTTGGGAGAGGGAGTTAATGGTAATGTCTCTTTTACTCTAATAAATTTTAATTTAAACATTTACTATGTATTTTCATTGTTCCTCACTGATTAAGTATTTTTGGCAATTTTTGTCAAATAAAACCTTTATGTACACTCACCAGATCTGTCAATCTGTGACTTTGATTCTTCCCCAAAGTCAAAATGACAATGAAAGGTGAATGTTTTGAATTGATTCAGAATGTTGAGGCAGTCACTACAATCCAACTTAAGCACATCTGAAAGAGGACTTTCAGAACTGCTTCAGAAAGTGGTGAGGAAGAAGGGAAAAGTGTATTTAAAGCAAAGGGAAATGGTTTGAGAGGGATCAATAGCAATGACAATGTGTCTTTTACTATAAATTATTTTTGAACTTTCACTGGTTTTCTTTTTTATCATACCTCATAGGTTAACCTGATGGAGAAGAGGAATATGTATGACATTCCTAAGAATGTGCAAAGATTTTGAATGACTCAAATGCCTTCTCTTTTTGTCTTTTATGGTTTTTCCAGTCAGTACCTTATAGAGATTGTCAACTTTCATGACACAATAGAGAAATGTAGTACAAGATGGCCACGTTATGGCTACGTTAAACAAAATCACTCAACATGGTTCACACTGCAGCTGAAGCTGAAGCTGGTCTGGCCTGGTTTCATCTTGTGCTGTTCCTGGGGGTTGTGTAGTCAGTTGACTAACTGCCTGATTTCAGATGCATAATGAAGAAAGCATGATTAGTATGGTG